GAAGTGATTTGCTTTTTTGTTTTCTGGTAATTCCTCTAATATTTTCTCTTTGGCTAAAATGTAAATTTGTCTAACTAATATTAGGCTGGTATTTTGTTTAACAATATAATATTATTTAATTAAAAACTTTTAATAGAAGAAAAATCATTTTACCAAATTAGGCACATTTATTTTATTTAAAATAACGTCACCTCACGATAGTGTAGTAAGTAGTAAATGAGAAGTGGAAGAGTTTTCGGCAATATACTGTAGTCTATTAATAAAGGGACGTTTGGGGAAATAACTATCAAATCTTTCAATATTTTTCTTTAAGAAAACAATTAAGCTACATGTTCTATAAAAAAATCAAAAATTGCCTAGAGTGGAATTTGAAATATCTTACGCTGCTACAATTAAGAAGTATTTAGAATAGTAACCATTCGTAATTTTAATCAAAATCAGATTTCATGCTAAGAAACATTTTCCGACCCTAACTAATGTTCTTCTGGAACTAATGTTCTTTTAGCACTCTATCTCAATTTGTTCGAAAAATAGCGTGATTATAATAGACAGACGGACAGACACACATGACATCGCTAAATCGACTTAGAATTTTACGCTGATCACGAGTATATGTACTTTGTTAGGCCTGTTATGTAATATGGTATGGTGGAAGGTATAACATGGGGATAATAGTTAGTTAGTTTTTTTTTTTTTTGGTAAATTTTTGTCATATTTTTTAAAGCATGAGATTTTTTCAATTTGACTTCAATAATATTGAATTGTGTATTTTGTAATATTTGTTTCACCTTGCAACACTATGTGGTGGATATATTATATTCCGATCGCAATTATCGTTCGATCTCCTCGAAATTTTGTATAGGGGTAGGGTTAGGGTCAGACTAAAAACCTTTTGTTTTGAAATATCTTATTTAGGTTTTAAAATGGACCAAAAATCTAAAAATTTTCTCTTTTTTGCAGTCGACTTACAGTTCTCAACTAGGGATGAAATATTTTAAATGGACGTCGGATAATATTTTGCTGGTGACATGGACCACAATTTTGTGTGAAAAAATACCGAAATTAGCGAAATTATAAATAAATCAATGTAAAATTCCTGTTTTTTTTTTCCAAAAAATAAATTAGGTATTTGACGTAGAAGGAACATCTGCTTCGTAAAATACCGATACTTTTTAGATATCGTATGTTTTTGGATAATATTGGTTCCGTTCTATGATTATTCGAAAAAAGGAGCAATTAGGTTCAAAATTTGTTTTATTATATTGCAGATATGGAGATTTTTCTTAGGGGCATTTGCATTCTATTCAAAAGAAGTTCAGGTCTGCAGAAACTTTATCGCAAATTGTACTGTTGTAGGGTATCAAATTAATTTTTTTATTTTTAATTTTTCATCCGAATCCGAGTAAAATACCTTAAAAAATCTTAATGCAAACCATAGGCAATTTTGATTTTTAATATATTTCATTCAAAGTCGAAAATCTTTCAAGAAGATCGAATTCTTCCTTTTTGCCAAAGGCGTAAAAACGAAAATGTCCACCCCATAGAAGTTCAGACGTATCGCCATTGCTTCGCAACATACCATCAAAATATACTACGGATAACAACGGTAGATTCAACAAACGATATTGTATAACACCAGATCCCCGAATTATATATATAACTCCCTGGTGTTAATAGCTAATTCTAAACATAGACTCGAGGATTGATGAGACTCCAGTAAAATGTCTTCTGAACCTGGGACGGGAATTGGCCTCTTTACCAAACAACTCGAAAACCGTGATCTGTCTATGTCAGTCAAAGTGCTTCTGGCGTTGATCCGAACTGGTTTAGAGCTAACTAGTAAATCTGCTATTAGAGCCATAACATGGGCAAAGAATGCCTACACAATCCTTTTGAAGAACAAGGAGATTGGGAGGAAGACCAAAATCCTATATCCTATCCCAAATGAGGAAAAAATTGATCTCTGCCATTTGTCAAAAGTACAGAATTCATATACCAAAGACAAGGCTAAGCTCCACAGTTGTCCGTAAGGACTTTTTAGCCTAACCAATATATTTCATATTTGAATTTATTTTCTTTTCTGTAAAGCGCTCACTTACCTAGGCAGACGACAATGGATGGAAAGTAAGTTTAGTCTTCTGAAAATGACGGATCATTTTTAATTAGGTCAAATGTTATTATTTTTATCATTATTACTATTATTATTATTATTATTATTATTATAGTTATTATTATTATTATTATTATTATTATTATTATTATTATTATTATAGTTATTATTATTATTATTATTATTATTATTATTATTATATTATTACTATTATTATTATTATTATTATTATTATTATTATTATTATTATTATTATTATTATTATTATTATTATTATTATATTATTATTATTATTATTATTATATTATTATTATTATTATTATTATTATTATTATTATTATTATTATTATTATTATTATTATTATTATTATTATTTTATTATTATTATTATTATTATTATTATTATTATTATTATTATTATTATTATTATTATTATTATTATTATTATTATTATTATTATTATTATTATTATTATTATTATTATTATTATTATATTATTATTATTATTATTATTATTATTATTATTATTATTATTATTATTATTATTATTATTATTATTATTATTATTATTATTATTATTATTATTATTATTATTATTATTATTATTAATTAATTATAATCGTTATTATTATAAACATTTTATTTATTATTATTGTTATGAATATTATTATTCTTGTAATAAGAAATTTTCCACTGCTTATACTCCCTACAAAAACTTTCCTTCTGCGATCTATATACCTTATTTAAAATTTTGACGCCTTGTTATAGTTTTAAAAATTCTGTTGCGATGCATAATCGCTTCATGAATTTAAAGCTCTTAAATAATATATATTTTTTATCCAATATTTATCCTTTGTTGTAACTTAATCTTTGGAACAACCGGAAACCTATTGAGTCAATCCCTTTTCTAAAACTGTTTTATAGAGATGTTCTTTTCTTACGGTTATGTAATTTATTTAAAAGTCATCTACCCTTCCACTTCTCATTTACAAAATTTCTTCTTTTTCTTTGATCAAAATTACAGCTAATGACTTGATCTAGATAAAAAATTTAAAAAACAAAACTACTCATAAAAAAGTTTTTTTTTCTTTCAACAACATTTCTGCGAGATCCATAAGTTTTTGTTTAGTTGTAGTTGGCTTAAGCAAATCTCTTTTAATTCGACAAAAAGCTAATCAAATTTGAGTTAAGTGCCTAATTTGGTAAATAAAAGCTAAGCGTAGTTTTTTGTTTGTATTGTGATTTTGATTTGAATTGCAATTGAGAGAAACGGGGGGAAAAATTGGCTAAAATTGGACTTAACAAAGTAGTATCAAAAAAATAACAAACTGCCTTATGTATGTAAGTAAAATAATTTTGATAGGTATGTTCCCAATAATAATAAAAAAACCAAATATTTCAATTGATTTTCCATGAAAATCTTTTTAACAAAATAAATTCCAGCTGACCTTTGTTTGACTTGCTGTGGTTTAATTTGTTTTTGTGTTTAGTTTTTTAGGCTTTTTGGGTTTTTCTGTTCGATTTGGTTTGGTTGTTTTGGTATCAAGAGTAGTTAGTTATGTCGCTTAAGGTACTTAAATTAATTTAAAGCTTTTACAAATGTGTGTTTGTTTTGGTTTTTCTTTTTTTTCTTCTTTTTGGTTTTAATTTCCATTTTGTTTTCTCATTTTTTCACAAAAATATACGTTTTAACTAAAATCAAGAAGCTAAGGTTAGTGATTTTCGGTATTCGGTTAGCTGCTGTTGCTGCTGGCTGGCAAATGCGGGTATATCTAATGTTTTGCAGTTATAAAAAAATTTATAGATTTTTATTTTTTTCCTCTTTCTTTCCTTTTTTTGTTTTGTTCAATTTTGAGTTGTTTCTTTATTTGTTTATTTTACCATTGTTGTCTCCTTCCTGTTTTCATAACATTTAATTTTTTGTTGTTTTCTTTTTCTTTAAAAAGTCTTTGGTTTGGTTTAGAACGAACGAACGATCGATGAATTTGATGATTTGTTTTGGATGGTTTTCGAGATGTTGTTGTTGTTTTTGTTTTTTGTTGCTTTATAAAGTGTGATAAAGATGTTGTTCTTGTTGTGGTTGTTGTTGTTGTTCTGGTTGTGTTCCAGCAGTATGGCCCGAATGGCTTGCCCTTATACTTGTCTCTCGTATTGGCTCCATAAATATTTCCGTATCCGTTGTTGTTATATCCGATAGCGGCGTTGTGACATTTGTGCTGCTGGCAAGTGTTGTTGTTGTTAGTGTTGTAGTAGTGATGTTGTCGTTGGTTTTGTTATTGGTCTTGTTTAAATGATTCGTGTTGTTGTTGTTGTTGATGGTGGCTGCTGTTGTCTCTGGATCTCTAGTGATATAATTGATCTCATGATCTGAATAAACTTTAGTTGTTGCTATATTGGGTTGCATGAACGTTGTCTCAGCTATGATGCGCTCTAGGGCCGCATCCTCGTCGACGTCCGCATCCCCGTAGGTGTGCCTCAGGAAGGCCAACGAGGAGAGCTTGCGCAAACGTTCGTCTCGCTCGAAACGTCGACGTTTCTCGGTCTCTAGCAATGATTGGGGCGATGTTGGTGTTGTCGGTGATGTTGGCGGTGGCTGTGGTGGTGGTCGTGATGGCATCATTATTAGTCTTTGGTTTTCTTCGAGTGGTGATGGTGGTGTTGTCGGCAAACGGAATAGATCGTTATATGACATGGCGGCGGTAATGGCTGGTCGTTGTTGTAGCTGCTGTTGGCGGTAGTGGTGGTGGTGGTGTGGGTGAAGAAAATGTTGCATTGGTATTGTATCAAAATTATGATCTAAGTCTGGTGCGGACAGTGCGGTTTGCAAAATGGCCTGATGCTATACCCAGATCTGTTCCCTTCGATCACGCGATCGCAATCAAAGCCTTTGCTAGCACCAGTCCTCTTCGTCGGAATCGGAGTGGCGTGCATGATGGCTACCCTTTGGCTTATAGCCATTCATTACCGGCGAGGGTAACACTCTCCCCGTTCGGCCCATAGCAACCGCTTGTTCAAACGACAAGGGTGGTATGTATTCCAGTCTAAATTATCCAAAGACAAAATTAAATCAAGTAAATCTCATGGAATTCCGCACTTACCTTTCTCTTTCATACTCCAACTCACGATCTCGTTCTCGTTCGTATAGCTCACGCTCCCGATCCCGATATTCGTATCGTGGATCGTAGTCACGCAAGCGGTCCCTGTAACGAGCGCGATCACGCTCACGTTCTCTACTGCTATAATACAACTCTCTAGGGTCCGGTATTAGATCGCGGTGGTTTACCAACGAGTGAACACTATGAGGTGTTGAGTGATGTGTCTGCAACAAAGAAATATTGAAAAGAGAACAATCAATTAAATCCGCAACATGTTGCAAAAAAACGCATTAGCAAACTTGACGAACTTGGTTGGAATCGAAAGGAAGAATTGTTGGGTGGTGGGAATGTGAAGACATGTTGTCCCCCAGCGTTCGATTTCGTTTCGTGATTTGTGGTATGAAGCCTGTTTTTGAAATTCGAGCGAAGTTTTGTTTTTTTCGGTCCAGAACCTCCAGAACTTCTCGGCCTGCCTGCCTGCCTGACTGCCTGTTTTGTATGTCTGTCTAATCGGTTTGTCTTACAAAGTGAAGTTGCGTAGCAATCAATTTCATCACTAACAAAAAAGTGAAAAGTTTTCGTATGACATCTAGCATAGCTTAGTTGTTGTTGTAGATAGTTGTAGATAGTTACACAAAATTTGCATTCATTCACATAAAATTATTTTGTTTCACAATCATTTCGAGTTGGGCATGCACTCGACGAGCACTCATTTCAATGTCTGAGCGAGTGGTAACATTTAGAGAAAATGTGTGAATTATTATTTCTAAGCTATTGACAATGACAATCGGGGGTTTTCTTGTACAGTAATGTATGTAGTATGTAGATGTTGATTCTGCAGTTTTGATTTGTTTATTTTGAGTTTGCAAGCAGATGATGATTTGTCGATGCATCTGCGAAATTTCGTTTGGAAGTCAATACAATGCTAAGTAGAAGCTTTCATAACACATGGATCCTTAAAGAGAATCAAAGCGAAATTGCGTCTATTCAATATAACTTCCAAATTATGTCCTTGTTGAGACCGTTGATTATTTATGAGAAGTGATGTGAAAAATTATGTTTCCTAACAAAATTGCTCGCACGAAGAAGCTGTACTAACTACAATACTGTCTATGTTATATCGTCTTGAAATTATAGAAATACTTTTCCATCGAATGTCTGATGTTGAATTGATGTTCCAGATACGGCTTAACGGACATACGCATATTAAACTAAAAATGCTCTTTAAATCCTGAATTTATAAGTTTCCGCCTACATGAAAGTACACTTTCAAGACATTTACGTAAATTTTACTTCGAAAACATATGCTTTTACACACAACTCTTCTAGGTGAATTCCCTTCCAAGGTTTTGGGATAATTTAAACCAGAAACGAAATTCAGACCGGAAACGAGACATAAGTCTGATCAGATCGGGAAGGATCAGGAAACTTTCCCGTGCTAAAAAAATCAAACTATGAATACTACAAGCAAGCATTCACCATGAAAACATGTAAATAATCTAGAAAGTATCAGTCTATTTGCCAAGAGATATATACCCTTCGAATATGATTTGACCTAAATTAGATATTTTGGAAACTTTTAAACTTTTGGGAAATTTTGGAATTTTGGGAAGTTTTGACAGAAAAGGGCACTAATTTCACAATAAATAAGATATTTTGGGAAGAAGTTGTAAGATATATCCTATATTCGTTATATAAAGGGTGAGATGAAAAAAACTGCAACCAACATCAGACTGCTGTCAATTTTAAGCCACTCGTCCGACAGCTGTTTATTCAGTGACAGCTCATTATATTGTTTATAAGCGTACAAAAGCATTTTGGAGAGAATTTTTCAGAAAAAAAGTTATTCGTGATGGAATTCAAGCGTGATAGTGTGATTTCTTTATATTTGGCTGGAAAACCACGATTGGCTATCGTTAGAGCACTCCAGCATTTAAATGTGGATAAATCTTTTGTGTCTCGTACCATCGCTCGTTATTGTGGTACTGGTAGCATAGACTGACGACAAGGAAGTGGACGGGAAAAAACAGCAACATTAGCAGAACGGGTTCGAAAAGTTAAGAAGCGACTTGATCGAAACCCGCACCTTCGGTTGGCCACCAGAACTCAAGCGCCGGCATGGTGATGGAGTGGGCCGCCATAACAGCCGATGCTCGCTCTCCGCTCGTATCATCAGAATAAATGCAGAATGTTATCGCGAAAATATTCTGGAGGGCGTATTAAAGCCTTGGGCACGCAAACATTTTGTCCGCAGACCTTGGGCATTCCAACAGGACTCAGCATCATCGCACTCAGCACGCGCCACCCAAGAATGATTACAAAATGAGGTTCCTCGCTTTATTCCCAGCGCACAACGGCAATCAAAAATCTCCCGATACCAATCCGTTAGACTATTGTGTCTGGAAAGCAAGGTTGGCACTAAAATATACCAAAGTGGCGATCACCTCAAGCAGGCCCTTCGCCGGTAATGGGCCAAAATACCGTGGAGCAACATTCGGGGAGCGTGTGACGGTTTCATTGGCCGCTTGAAGGCCAAAATTCGTGAAAAAGTGACCAATTTGAACAAATCTAAACTTATTCTAAAATTTGATGCTATTTTCGACATTTTTTGCTTTCATTCAATAAAATTTAAAAAATATGTAAAAATTATGGCGTTTGACTTTTGTTGCAGTTTTTTTTATTTCGACTTGTATATATCGTTAAAATAACGAATATCTGGATGTACGGTTCAATAGGGACGGTGAAAATAAGAAATGCTCTGCCATAGAAAAGGGATGCTAAGTGTCAAAATTTAAGCCCATCGGTTCGAGAATGGCTCTAAAATTGTCGTTGTAAAAAAGCGAAAAAGCCAACATAACCTTATTCTTTGGATGTATGTATATTCAATTCTCTATCCTGCTCGAAGGATCGAACGGCGAGAAGAGAAATGCTACCGCTTCGTTCTTAAATTCTCTATCCGGCTCGAACGCCCAAATGTAAAAAAGCCGAAAAAGGAACACAACCTTATGCTTCGATTGTTGATTTAAATTTCTATCCGGCTAGAAGTTCATTAATTTTTTCTATCGTCAGTTAATCCGGCATCTCTATACAATATTGAGTCCTTTAAAATAAGAATATTTTTATGATGAGATTTTTTAATCTTTTAAAATCTAATCATATATTGGGTATATATGTCGATAAAATCGACTTATATTTTCCAATCTACAAAATACGGAACTTGATTCGATCGTCACCACCACATATTAACAAAAAGACTTTACCTAAATGAAAATCAATGGGTCGGAATAACAAAATTATTTACCCTTTATAGTTTGCTGATATAGTTCCGACTGGCAACATTTTGATGGTTTTCGTTTATTTGTAATGAGTTTTATGAGATATTGTCTATATCCTTAACCAATTCTATTAAGAGATATTTTTTGTAAATTGTTAAAATCTATTTGAAACGCGGTTGACAAAAAAAGAACGGCGACAAAAAATTATCATGTTGTACTTGAAACTTTAAATGAATGAGGAATATACCCCTTTTTCTCTTGATAACTGACTAAATTTTGGATTGTTTTTATGAAATGTTTTTAGATATTATAAGGGCTAGTTTTAATGTCTATATACAAGCAATCATTTCAAGGTTCATTATGTCAAATTTTCTTTTACAATAACACTTTTTTAATAAGTTTCATTCAAAGTCTATCATTTTCTATTCTAGATCAAAAATTTCCCATGTCGCTGGTTTTTCTAAAATTCTAACGCAAGTGATTTCACAAAGCCTGAATTATTAGCGGAAAATGTAACTCTCTTATATATCACAAGAATAAGATCCTACTATTATTGACGACGTCATGAATTGTGTTGGATGACGATTCAATATGTCAGTCTGAATTTTATTTCACATACGAAACAAAATAATAACAATTAAAAACACAACAAATAATATAAATTTCGTAATTGATATTCATTTACTTACATGTGTTGGACTTGCATTTAATTTTGGAAAATTAATATTTGTTGGCTTTAGCTGCAAGGTCGATGGTTTACTGGGTGTGGGTGGCAGACGTCGACCACCACCACGACGATGGTTTAAATTTGGGTAACTGTGTTGGCCATGGGGTCCACCTAATTTACAATAATAATAATAAAGAAAACACACACACACATACAATAAATCAAGTTATCATGTGTTGACAAATCTCACAGTTAGTTGTAGGGTACGAGTGATTGTGTATTTTATTCTTTTGAATGAACTGAACAAATAATATGTTTTTTTTTTGTTATGATTGAACAGAGATTTTAATATATTTTGTATGTAAGTATTGACAAAATGTTTTTCTGTTGAGCTGTTAAATGAAGTTTTTGTATAATTTTTAGACATCGAAAATATTAAAAGAAAATACATGGTGCATTAGTATTGTTTTGACCCATACAATGATGTTGGAGAGCATGCATGAGGGTTTTGCTTTTGGGTATTTCATGTATGTCGTTGGATGAAAATAATTTATAATATACTTTTTTTGATTTTTTTAAATTCATTATTATTCTTATAAATATTAACAATTTTTTTTTCTTAATTAAAGATTAAAATTAAATTTTATAGAGGTAGTTAAGGAATTGAATAACGTTGAAATATTTTTTTGTATGAACTTGTGTACACCATCTTTAGGTTGATTTTAAAAAAAGACACATTGAGAAAAACTTCAGCATCGAAACCATACTCTACTCTTTGGATTTAAAATTCTACTCCTTGGAAAATTCCAAATAAATTTTATACTTGGTTTCGGATCCAAAGAAATTCGAGTTTTTAAGCCAAACTTGTTAAGGACCTTGAACATACACAGAGGACCTAAATATTTTAAGATATGTTTCGCAACAGTAAGATACAGCTTTAAACATTTATTAATACTTCTGGACTACTTAATAGAAATAATTTCAAAGATTTGTCATTTTTGTCTACCCTTTGGTAGTCCGTGCGTGTATTGATCCCCACGGACATAATCCCCATTACAATTATAGGGGTTATGACCTTTTTGGCGAAAGTATCAAATAGTATATCAAAACGATTCCGGACATAAGTCCCATTATTGCGTAGGTACTTTTAACCAAAGTTTCTTGGGGGAAATGCCCGGTTACCCAGTTATTCGACCCAAAAGTTCGGATAGAAAATTCGGGTTGTTTTCGGTTCTACGAAACCGATATGTAAATTGATATCATTTGAATGCTTATGGAAATACCAATTCAACAAGGGGTCATGTGATATGGGGTTGTTTTAATATATCCAGGAGCAATACATGGAAATTCGTGTTTTTGTACCGGAACTTAAAAAAAAACCAAAAAGATCTATTTGGCCAATTGTGCTGGCATATCTTGAAAGTTCCAAAGATGTTAGTTTTAAAAATCATGAAATTGCGATTTTCTCTACTAATATGAAGCTAAACAACTTTTTTAAGTAACCGGCCTTTAGCTGGGGCTTCAAATTTTCTCCTTTGGGGTATATCCATTACCGGCTACACGATTCACAGTTTTTCTAAACAGTACAACTGTTGTAAGTACCTGTGATTAAAATTTCAGGTCATAGCCCCTTAAATCAAATTAAGTCTTACATTCTCTCTGAGGTTATGTCCGAAACATTTTAACACAGAAAGCGGTCATACTCCCCAAGGCAATGTCTAATTTCATTTATTTCGAGGTTTGGACAACATTTTTCAATCTAATTGACATATTTTTGATATTTCGATTCCTTTGGTTAAAAACAGACCTTCCAACAATATACATTCAATATATGTATTTATTGCGGCATTGACTACAGACTTTAGTATGGAGTGTAAAAAAAATTTAAGTGGGAGGCACGTGAAATAACTAAAATCGAGCGTAACCTTATATTAAGACTGTACTGAATGTCAACCTACATTGATATTTGTTTGTTAGTGTTTCTACATAATACGAATTAGAGTTGTTCCATGGATTATCTAGTTCCATGGACTCAGGCCTGCGTATAAGTGATATGAAATATAAGAAATTTATGAAATCACTCATACGTTCAGGAACTGGTATATCGATATATGAACCAGATTAACACAACTCTGATAAGAATTCAGAATTTTGATGAAAACCATTAAGAAAAGGTCAAAAGTCGGGTGGGGCCGACTTATGATACCCTAAACCACTATGCGTATTTAGTAGAGCTCACGGAACAACAACGTTAATATTGGGAATTTATGTGAAATAGATCATACCAACTATGAACCAAGTAACATTGGTGTATAGTGTATGATATGGCATCAATAAGGATTATATAAACAAATATTTATTGGAGCAATATATATAACCGACAAGTTTCACCAAATGGTAAAATTCGGTTGAATATGAAAAAATCTTATGAATTTAGGCTGATATTATATATATGGTGAACAATAACCGTAAAACTATATAAAAATCTGAACCGATCTGAAATTTGGAAGAGGTAATTTTGAGCTGTATCTGATGCCCAATATCATTGTTGTGGAGTGCATATTACGTATGTAAGGGACTTTAGCACCAAATCGGATGAAACATATACATTGGAGCTATAGCTTTATCTGAACCGATTTTCACTAAATTTTAAGTACATGCTACTAGGCTGAATTCGGTCGGAAGTGCCATAATTCACTCCATTGGGAGTGATATTAGCCATGTGGTGCACAAAAAACCTGTAATCGGATTAAACATTCATATATATGAGAGTTATAGCCATATCTGAACCGATTTTCTTCAAATTTGATGTACTTGCTTCTGCACTGAATTCGGTCGGATCTGCCAAAATTCATGTCACTTGGACTGATATTTGGTACAAAATTATCCCGAAATCTATTGAAAATATATATGGGAGCTATATCTAAATTTCGATTCTCACAAATTTCAACAGAGTTCGTCCTTGGACCAAACAAATATTTTTTGGAAAATTTCATCTGAATCGGATAATAAATGCGACCTGTATTTTGTTCACAAAAATACATGGATAGACGGAGGGACTGACATGTATAAATCGACTGAGAAAGTGATTCTATTCTATTGCAATATTGCCGAAGACACTATATGCCTTAAATGTATTTCAAGAAATTAAAAATGCACAAAAATGTTGAGAAGGGGCGCTTGCCCCTCTATTTTTCGGTTACTCGGGATGTACAATTTCATCCCGTTTCTTCTGTTTTATGAGATGAGATTTTTGCTTATTCCCTTTTTTTACCCTACAACACTATGTGTTGGAGGTATTATAAGTTTGAGTGAGCCGTCCGTTCATCTGTCCATGTTAATTTGCAATCACTCTATAGGTCGAAGTTATAGCCCGATCCACAAGAAAATGTCAATTCTAACCGTTGCATTGTTGCTCATATTCAAGAAATCGAATATATAGCAAAATATATACAATCTCATATATCAATGAAGGGGATTTTAGTTAGACCGCGGATAAAATGGACCATAACTTTTGTGTGAAATTGTTTTGGAAAACCTATCAGCACGACATAGAGTGTAAATATTAGGAAAATATCCCCGGTAAAAAAACAAAGGTAACATTCGTGCAGGACAGTAAGGCATTATTTCAAATAATCGATTAAAATGTGTTTGGAACCAAGCAGGCCCCGCTCTACAGCCATTGCTTACTTTTTTACTTTATTAATTAATTATTTATTTAATTATTCATTTATTTAGTTATTCTACTTGTATAGTTATTTATTCTTTATTTATTAATTTTTTAGTAGTATAGGGATCATGCAGAAAAAGATGTAGACTTTAAAACACTGCATGGCTTACAAAATGTATTTATCATGTAAATGGAATTTTATTCATATATCAAAGTATTTCCTTTAGAAATTATTTATTCATGTTTTCGTTTACGTAATTATTTTTATTATTTATTTTTTTATTTATTTATTTATTTATTTTATGTAGATATTTAGTTACCTATTTATTTTATTAATTATTTATATATATTTTTATTTTTTTTAATTATTTATTTATTTTTTATATTTTTTATTATTATTTATTTATTTCGTTTATATATTTATTTTTTGTTTTTGATAATATAGGTATTATAAAGGAATGTGAAAAGGTTTTACAATGATATGGACCTTAAAACCCTGAATGGCGTACAAAATTTCAACAATCTGCTCTATTTGCTCACTTAATAATATGAATCGATTTTATATTTATTATTATTTTAAATTATTTTCATCCAGCTATGATATTGTGCTTACACATCTAGTAGAAAATAAATATGAAATAATATTTTATGAATATTACACCAACAGATTTCTACAACACAATTGAAAAAATCCAAAAAAAATCACAAACCGAAAATAATTGGTGAGTAAAAAACAATTAAAATCCAAAAATTTCACACATATGCCCCACAAAAGAAAAGAAGAAACCCACATTAAGCAAAACATAAATACAGAAAAAAATAAACACAGCATCAATATATCCAGCATCAAATCAAATATCGAACGAATGAGAATTATTTCTATGTTGTTTGTTAGATGAACGATTAAGGAACGAACGCATAACCCACTGATGGAAATCATAAAGTTGCTATGATGACGCATGGCACAAGGATGATCACATGATGGCGGCGCATACATTGACATTGTTAGTAAACTAGATTGGATTCATTGATTTGAGATGTGGTAAGGCAAACGGTTGCGTTTTGGTTATTATTCAGATAGATAGATAGATTGATTGATAGATGATGATTGAGTTCACGGAAGACATGGTTTTTTGTTTAGTAATAGAAAATTATTATTTATTATTTTTGTTATTATGGGACAAACTCGATGAGGGCCAAATTACGAACGAAATGCATTTGGAATGAAGTGACTGCTGCTGACGACACATTCAACTAAATTTGGTTATAAGTAGAATTAATTAATCGATTTAGGTATTATTGCAAAAATATGTAGTTTAACTGCTCTACGGAGACAACAAAAGTAGGAATGACTGACTGACTGTAATTTTTGAATGATGAGGCGCTGTTGTTGTTGCTACATTCTCTATTTGTGGGTGGGTGAATAAGTGTGAGAGAGTTAATTTGCTATGAGAGAAATAGAAATGTTTAGTTAACTGACTGACTGAGTGTTCCATTTGCGAGTAATGTTTGAGTGTTGTTGTTGTTGTTCCAATAGAGTATAGGAAAGAGATAGTATATATCCTTTCAAGGCTAAATGCATGAACTGTACTTGTTTCTTATGAGTTTCCGTTAGAAAGAGAAAGACGATTAACGAACAGTATAACGGTGACGAGAGAATGTTTACAAATCGAGTATAACAAATTTTGTTAATTTATGAGATGGTAATGTAAGAAATGTAGGTTTGACATTTGGCGCAAGACAGACAGACAGAAAGATAGTACGATAGATGGAGAGAGAGATAGAAACACAGAATAGAGTTAGACTAGAAAGTTGTTGTTGTAGTTGTGTAAGGCGATTTGTTTCGATTAAATTTTGTTCAAAATAATATGCGCATGTAAATTCGATTTAATTGCTATATGTGTGACTGTTTGCGTGTTGTGAGAGTGAGACAGAGATAGATAGAGAGAGAGTTAGAGAGTGTGTGTGAAAGAGAGAAAGTACCCATATCAATCCCATAGCCAAGTCTATCTCTTTCACGCATCTCCTGCAATCGTGCAGGACTCGGTGATCGTGATCTTTGACATAGACTTGTTGTCCCATATGAGGGATAAGGCAGTTCAGGGCGTCTGGTGTGGCCACCATAACGTGACGGTGAAGGCGAACGGGCCGGACTTGTCGATGCTGACCATGAACCTGTATATTTGTTTTTTTGTTGATTTGGCGTTGTTACCATCAAATATCGAAAAAAGAAAAAAAAAACAACAACAAATAGGCAATAAATAATAGATACACATACGAAGTTAGGTTAAACAAACGAAAGGTATAGAGCATTTGTGTTAGGTACGAGTATTTTGTTAAGTAACTTATTTTTTAAGTTTTATTGGTCTTTAAGGTCTATCTTTTGAGCAAAATAAAATTTAAGAATCAAACATAAAAATAACACAAATATTAAATTATTGTTTTAAAAATATAAGTTCGAGTATTATATGATATGCATACATCTGTAAGTATGTATGTGTTAAGCAGAGAAAATCCAAAATTAATACAAAAATCGATTTGGTGAAAGAAATTTATAATATTATATGAGTGTTTGTTGTTGAAACTGTCAAATGTCAAAGCAAAGCAAAGAAAGTAAGATCGTTAACGGCAAGAGCATAAAAGCCGGTAATAAGGAATCTTGAAGGTACCATATATGGCAGAATGATATGCTTTGGAGCACATCTGCCGAGGTTATTTACCTTCAACTCTCTAATGCCACACAGCATGAGCCAAGAGCCTTAGGAAGGCATTGGAAGAGAAAATTGAAGCATTTGATCGTGAAATACCGGATATCTTCCGAAATGAGAGACATCATAAGAAATGGTCCAATTATTTCCACTAAACTCAATGTTGGTGGAAGTATGGGTTTATTCGAAGTTAAAAAAATACTCGGTGATATTTTTGCATATTATGAAGGTTATAATTTTTTTGATCCTTTGTGGAGAGGAGCAATATAGAACGGACCGATATACACTATATTCACATTTTATTAATGGCTGGCAAAAATATAAATATGTTTGAAGTTTGATGAAAATCTTTAATTTTTTAACATATTAGAATTAGAATTATCAATTTCAATTTTTTTTAAACGGATTTGGTTCAAAGAGACCTGGAATCTTAGAACATAACAGCGATGACTCTTTAACCGTATCAAATAATATACACCCGTAATACCCATATGGCTGAGAGTATAAAAAATCTGAAGATCTTTCCAAAGGACAAGGTCTCATAAAATCCAGAAACTCCTTTATAGAAGACCAGGAGGTCGTTTAGTCAAGAATCAGGAACATCTTTTTTAAAGAAGACCAGAATGTCTGCTCACAAAAGATCAGACCTTAAGGCCTTCACATAGAAGACTAGAAAGTATCCTCAAAAATTAACTTCTTTTTCATAGAAGACAAAAAGATTTTCTCTCGAAAGAAACTCCAACTACACAAAAACTGCGGGGTATGCTGGCAGAAATCGTCAAAGTTGCAAGGTTTTCTCGGTGCATTGTCATAATCCCCACGGACATAATTCCTATTACAATAATGGGGTTTTAGGACAGTTTTTTTGTCGGTCATAGCCCCATTATGAAATGGGGATATCCAAAACTGTTGCCGACATAAACCCCCTTATGGGGTAGCTATTTTTAACCTGATTACGGCAAAGTCATTTTCGGGGGTGGAGCTGAAAGTTCGGATACCGAATTCTGTTATCCGATTCTAAAAACCGAATATGTACAAAATGGGTATTATCTGATGGGTTGTTGATGTTACAAGAAAATTGATTTTTTTGTGCCGAAACTTTTTGAAAACTCTTAAAAAATTGACCCATTATGGGGTGTTAAGATAACCATACTGTATTATAGCCTATAGTTGTCTTTCCAAAATGATACCAAATGTGCTGATATCTCTTGTAGTTACGAAGATTTTGAATTTAAAATGGAAAGTCGGCTACTTAAAAAACATTAGAAAAAATGTTGGAAATACCTCAGAGTTTTAAAATCAAGCCACGACCTACGGCCACATACAAAACTTATAATTTTTTTTTTGTATCTGAACTATCGGGTCAAGGTCTCCTCACAGAAGATCAACTGGTTTTATCACAGGAAACCGCATGTTCCTATCACGAAAAACTACAAGACAACTTGGAGAAGAACCACAGAAGACCAAAAAATATCTCCTCACAAAAGACCACATGAACCTGTTACTAAAAACTAAAAGGTGTTTTGAGAGGAATCCACATGGTTTCTTCACAGAAGGTTAAAAGGTGTTCTCACAGAAGACCAAATGTTTCTCAAAAAACCCAAAGTCTCCTCCCAGAAAATCATATTGTCTTGTCACTAATTAGCACATGGTCTTCTTAAAGAATACCACAAGATCTCCTTACGGAAATTACAAGATCTCCTCGCAAAAGACCACACGGGAATTTTCAGTAAAAAAAAATAGGGCTTTCGCTCTGAAGACTTCGAAGTCTTCTCACAGAGGATTTCAATATCTTCTCACAAAAGACCACTAGGTCTCCTCACTAAAGAGCTCGAGGCTTTCTCATAGAAGATCTTAAGGCAAAAATTGTATATCTTTCTTCATAAATAAAAATATCAGAACCCCTTTCTGACCCCAGGGAACTCTCTTATTCATGATCCGAAAAAAATTTAAATAAATCAAGCACGTCATATTTACTATGATTTTGACATTTGACATGTATAGCAATAATGACATTTAAAAATACATATCTTTAGAGAAATAATAAAAATAATAAATAAACAAATGTTGAATAAATTGGTGTGTTGTGCTGTAATATAAATTTCTTAGTGTTGGGTGTGACCTCCTTTGAATAGTAACTAAAAATATACAACTATAACAGCATTTGAGTTTGAATCTTTTTGCCCACATGGGCAAATAATGAAATTATTTTTTGTATTTTTTTCCATAATGTTGCTTTTTACAACAACAGACAACATTAAAATAGTGTCATGCAATTGTTTCAATTCAATTGTTTTTAACATTTTTTAAATGTGTTAGTGTGGTTTTATCCACAATGTTTTCAGTATTTTTTCCATTTAGATGTCTTTCAACAGAGAATAATGGAAAAACTACATAGAAAATAAATAATAAAAAAATTAAAAATTATATGAATTTACAATAAACATGCCTTATAAAAAAAATTAATAAAAAAAATGTTTGTTTTTCTTGGTTAATCATAAAAAGCCATAGGAAAATATAAATAATAATATTAATTATAATTTATATAAATATAATGTTTTTTTTTTTTTTAGAAAAGTTTGTTATTTGTAATAAATTGATTTCTTAAGAAAACACATAAAATTTCAATATGTTTTGTTAATATATCGTTGTAATTACAAAATGAGTAAATACCTCTTGGATAACGCGCATGATGACCATATCCTCTTGGGTGACGGGTTTCCTTGACCATCTCCACCACATTAGATACAGTATCAGAGAACCCAATATCATGATGTGTGTATGGATGGCCACGCCGTCGAGGACTTGGTGATCTATAAAAGAGAAGAGTTGTTTTTTGTTGTTGGATCAATGAAATCACACAGTTTAGTCCACAGTTTGAGGAAGAAGAAGAGGAATATCAGCTGCAGCAGCACGGGGCGAAACAAAAGATCTCAAATTTGCGGGTACTTAAAGTGTGGTAGTTTGGGGGTGGTCCCATAAATCGGAGATCTTTAGTTTGTTGACCGGCTAGCTCAATTGCGTAATGCTTGTTGTAAGAAGTTTTTTTTATTAAAGCAGTGCTGAGATGATAGCTTCATAATTTATGTACATAGATTAAAGTTGCAGAAGAAAAGTTATTTAATGGCGATGATGATTCGTTGTTGATTATGTGTGTGTTGTTGGGTAGAGAAAAGATCATTAGCTCTTGTTGAGAAATTTTGGATTCTCATCTAATAGTCAAATATTTTAATATTTATATTCATATGTTGATAAAGTCTTCTGTATAGTAAATGTAATAAACATACAAAATCGTAGCAACAGGTGAAAAGTGAATACATTTAACGTCGAACTAATTCATAAATGTTACAACCTATCAGCTGTATGCTTTCAGCCTCTGTCGCATAGACAAATGCAAGACCATAGTGAATATTATATCTCTTTTGTAAATCTTCTAAAAATACATATGTTTGATTTGGGCATTATATTCACATCGAGTCGATTTAGCTATGCATGTCTGTGTTAAGTTGTAACCACTCTACAGGTCGTAAGGATGACCTCATTCTCACTAAATTTTTAATGGAGTTAGAGACTGAAAAGAGCCAATTTTAGGAATGTTCAAATTATAATCAGGGAATTAAATGGACAAAAACTGACTGTTTTCCTGGTTTGCAATTACAACTATAGATCAATCGACATGTGATTTGAATACTCGTTATCACTGCAGAGAGAAGTCTTGTAGCACTGGTCAAAAATCAGGGTTACTCTTTGATATTACCACCTGCAATATTTCAAAAATTAAATGGCTATTTTGTTTGGAAAAAATAGTTTTGAATTTGAAATTTTCCTTGCAGGGGCAGAGCGATTTGGATGGTCATCAAATACTTAGCAGCTGAAATAGACCACAGCTTTTATATAAAAATTAAGAAGATTTGCATTAAATCGCTAATATTTTTAATTCCGGCGATATCACAAATTCACGAAAATGTCACATCTGACGCTACATTGATGCTGATATCCAAGATATCGCATATACACGGTAAGATGAAAAAACTGCAACCAACTTCAGACTGCTGTCATTTTTAAGCCACTCGTCCGACAGCTGTTAAAATTATTCCAGTGACAGCTCATAGTATTGTTTTAGAAGCGTACAAAAGCATTTTGGTGAGAATTTTCCAGAAAAAAAGTTATTCGTGATGGAATTCAAGCGTGATGGTGTGATTTCTTTATACTTGGCTGGAAAAGCACGAGGGGCTATCGTTAGAGCACACCAGCATTTAAATGTGAATAAATCTTTTGTGACTCGTACCATCGCTTGTTACCATAACCCCGATGAAACATCACCAGAAATGGTTCGAAAATTAATGAAGCGACTTGATCGAAACCCGCATCGCAGTGGCCGAAAAATGGCCCATGAGCTGAACATATTCCAATATTTCATTTGGCAAACATTGAAAAATGAGCTTGGGGTAAAGCCATTGAAATTCCAAAAAGTGCAAGAACTTATACCGCAGCAGGAAGAAAATAGACTCAAAAAAGCTAAAGAGTTGCTTCTCTTCGCTGAAAGTGGTGAACTGCCGAATTTGGTTTTCTCCGATGAGAAAACATTCGTTGTCCAGCAGTTTAACAACCAAAATGATCGTGTTTACTTGCCGAAGAGGTCAGCTGGAAATGTGCACCTTCGGTTGGCCACCAGAACTCAAGCGCCGACCATGGTGGGCTGCCATAACAGCCGATGGTCGCTCTCCGCTCGTATTAATCGACCGTGGCATTAGAATAAATGCCGAATATTATCGCGAAAATATTCTGTAGGGTGTATTAAAGCCTTGGGCATGCAAACATTTTGGCCGCAGACTTTGCACATTCAAACAGAACTCGGCACCATCGCACTCAGCACGCGCCACCCAAGAATGGTTACAAAATGAGGCACAATAGCCACCAAAATCTCCGAATACCAATCCGTTGGACTATTGTGTTTGGAGTATTTTACCGCAGGGCAACATTTAGCCATCGTGAGACGGTTTCATTGACCGTTTGAAGGCCATAATTCGTGCCAAAGGTGACCAATTCGAACAAATCTAAACTTATTCTAAAATTTGTTGCTTTTGCTTTCATTCAATAAAATTTACAAAAAAAAATGTAAAAATTATGGTGTTTGACTTTTTGGCAGTTTTTTTATCTCACCATGTATATGTCAAAGAATATATCTTATTTATTTTGCTTATAAGTCAAGGACCGCGGGGCCGATTTTCGCAATTCCCTTCAATTCAGAATGGTCTCTTGTCAGAAAAGGATAAAATCTAAGAAGATCGCAGAAAAATATGGCGATTTTTTCAATTTGACATACAATTTTGAATTGTAATTTTTGTAAATTTTTACACCCCGCAACACTACGTTTTGTCGCAGTTCTCGTCGAATCCTCACGAAATTCTGCATGGGTTAGAATCAAAATAAACAATAGGCTTAATTGTTTTGAAGATGTATATTTTTGGTTCAAGTGGACCAAAAAAAATTTTTTTTTCCTGATTTTAAAGTCTCCCTACGGGTTACAATTAAAAACCAATGGACACGGAATTTTCCATGAGGTTAGAGTTAAATACCGGGAAGAAGTCTAGCATTTTGGATGACCATTGGATTATATTTAGCTGTAAAATTAACCAAAAATTTTGTGTGAAATTGTTTTGAATACCTAACGACACGACGGAAATGGAAATACAACCGGCCAAAAAGCTGAGGTAGGTAGTAGTCATTGACATAATATCAAAATCGAAATGGAAATAAGGGGCCTTACAACATATTGTCGTGTTGTAGGGTATCACATTGTCGGCCCCGCACGACCATAGCATTTGCTTACTTGTTTTTTTTTAATTCCTACAGCTTATGTGACGAACCGAATGGAGTGGTCGACATAAGTGCAATACAAATATCATGATGTGCCAAATGAAGACAAATAAATATCCCAGTCAGACGAACGCTAGATTGACTTCCCTAAAACGTGTTTCATCGAAAGAGGTATAAACTCCAAAATATTATTTCGATGATGCACATTTTGGATTTATCGAATGATTTATCTCTATGGAGAGATAAATAAACATGAATTTGATAGGGGTGTTTTTATGTTGTATTTGACCTCTCATACCAAATATCATTGCTATAAAGTGGATGTTTTGGTAGACTTTGGTAGACTTAAAATCGTTTAATCCGATATATCGGAGATATTGATATATTGGGTATTATTTTCATCAAATTAGACACATATGAATATAGGCTGAATTCGGTAACATGAGACAACGTTCATCCATATTGGGCTGATAGTATATATTCGGTGTACAATAATCCAGAAATCGGACGAATATTTATACATAAATTTTGACCGATAATCACAATTTTCAAAACGGTTTATCCTTGAGCCAAACAAATGATTTGTGTAAAATTTCATCTCATTCGAACAATAATTGCGACCTGTACTTGGCGACTCAGAATGTGGTTCTATTGAGATCACAAAAAGAACCAGGGGTCTATATCATGTCCTTCTGTATGTTACAAACAAATCCGCAAAGACTGTACCACAGTGCGGCGTAGGGTCGAAAAAATAACATTTTTTAAAGTATGTTCCGAATTCGACCGTTTTACAAGAAAAAAATTAAATAAATAAATAAATAATCATATGTCCTTCAGAACGGATTACTTCTATATTTTTTGTAAAGTATTCGATTGCAAATGTGCTGGTTTACCAAATTGTGCCGTTCTCTGTACCAGCAAACAATTTGGAGATTTTTGTTCAAGATTTCATAATAATAAATATATATAAAATTTTGATTTCTTTGTAAGAATATAGAAATAATCGTTAAAATTATAATTTCAAAAAAAAAAAAAAAATATTTAGGGCATACAAATTTCATTTCAATTTTTCGGGGCAAATGCATGTTAGGAGTGGTGTTGCTTTGGGGAAAATGACAGCAATTGATGCACTTGAACAAATATGGGAAACAATATTCAAAACTGTTGTTGGGAATAGTCAATTTCTTTTAACATTCCTATGCATTTGTCAATCATGCAAACAAGCACACACACACACACACTCTTTCAATACACCCTACCATAATTATCAACGACATAGAAACCTCTTTGAAATGGACCTTTAAACGGATATGTCAAATTCTGTAATTCATATGAGCACATTATGCCCTGAGATCTTTTCTCCACCAGATAAATAAATGTATGTAGTTTGTTGTAATGATGAGCATGAGATAGAAATAGAAGAGGAAGAAGCAGCACGTAGATTATTTATGAAGAGGAATCTTAGAAATCTGTAAGCAGAGAAGATATCTTTCGCATTAGGGTGGGCAAATGGAAAAGTTACCTTAAACTAGGTGATCGGCGATGACCGTTTTGATAGGCGTGTCCAGGATGTAAATGACCAGCATCGGCACCGGTTAATGATTCCTGAGATGGATGCCTGGGTGCATCCCTTAATTCCAGCATCTATAATATTATGGAGTTGATTGAAATTATAGAGAGATAGATATTAGAATATTGTTTATAAAAAATATTTAAAAATTTTAAAACAATATTAAAAACAAATTTGAATCATATCACAAATAAAATTTTTAAGGTGTATGGGGGGATTATGGTCTAGTAATAATATTGTTGTGGGTTTGTTTGGTTATTGGAGTTACAATGCAGGATTGTCGGAATAAAGGGGGGCAATGAAACATTTCAAATATATCGATTAAATATATAAATAAATTGTAATTAACATTTAAACATTTCATTGAAATAGTACTACTTATTTTTTGTTTTTTTTTATATATTTGTTGTAAATATTATATAAACTAATGATGATGATATACGATAACTAACCATATAGAGAAACCCCTACTGAGCAAAAAAAATTCATAACAATTTTCATTTTCATATGACGTCATTTGAATTATGAATTTTTAAATTGATGTCCATCTTAAACGATTATTTTGCTGATATTTTCTTTTCTAATTTTATATAATTTTTGTGTAATAAAGTTAATTTGTTTGCAGATATTTTTTTTTGTTCTATTTTGTATATTTGTCCTATATTTAGAACTATTTTTAATTTTTTATTGAAATAAAAAATCCAAACTGAAATTATTTTAAACTGAAAATTAAAATTTGAAAGTAAATATTTTTTTTACTAAAATATAAAAACAAAGAACAAATTGAACTACATTTTTATAAAATTGCAAAATCACAAATAAATCACACTATTTGTGATGTGACCTTCTATTTGCATCTAAATATTAACTGTGACAAACCGATAAACATACATTTATTTTTACATTCACTAATAACACATTAAGGCATATTTACAGCGAAGCAAAGCCATACTTACCATTTGTGATTTTGGTTGTTGTTAATATTATCTATTAACAATTAAAATTAAAAGCGAAAATAAATGACAAAATGTAAAACACAATAAATAAAATTACGAGTGACAAATGCGTATTACTGTTGCTATGTACAGTGAGTGTGGTGCTTAAATGGTTGTATGAAGCTATTTGTAAGAATTTGATTAATTTTTTTGTGATCTATTAAAAAATATTTTTTTTTATTAGAGAAAAGTTTAATTTGTTAAAAACGTAGATTAATTAGAAAATGGTTAAAGGGTTGGAACTAGAAAACCCTTTTAAATAAACGACTTGTTCTCAGTTATGTTAAAAATTTATTTTCAGATTTCTAGATCGCCTTAGATAAATTCAGGAAAAAAATATTAAGTTTGCCCTTACCGAACTACCCTCCATCATTGGGTAAAGAAAACATTTTTACAAAAAGTAAGATCGTTTCGATAATGCAGTTAAACTTATTAAATCCATAAAGTGAGTGGGCCGTTATATGAGAGCCATACCAAAAAGGGTACCTTTATAAATGAATTTATATTACAACGATTGTTATCTGTTGCGAGTCTTAAATGCCAAAAAATACATTGGTAAATGTGACTGGGAATATCCCAATACCGAATATATGTGTGCTATAGGAAAACATGGACTCAGATATTTAATGTTTTTCCACCGGAACTAGAACCCAGAAATTCGTGGAAAAATGTAGCAAAAATAATCAAAATACTGAATATCGGTGACCTTTCAAGTCAGCCCACATTATAGCTGAGAATAGGACAGTAATAATTTGAATTTTGGTTGCAACAGAGAGTGGTTTGAAACACAAACTTGAAAAAACGTTTAATACCATTCGACGAAAAAGAAAAAATAGTTAGATCACAGTTTCATCACTTGGGCGGAACAGACTATATAATACAACTAAAAAACTCTGTGTTTTTACTCGAGTTGCTCCCAGAAACAAATGTATGAAAAATTGTAATGTTTACATATCTCTCAGTGTTTTTTTCATAAACCTATTTTCAATCGATCGCTATATATTTGTAATAAGTATAGAACAGTGTTGGCTTCTTTGTTAGGGATGCCATAGTATTTTGTTGTTGCAAAATGGTCAGGATTAATCCCTTTATTGTTGTTTTTATAAAAATAACGTTTGTTTATAAGTGGAGAACGATGGTAATGTTTACCAGGGGGTAAGGCTGGGAATACTTAGGTTTCGGTAAGAGCTATTTTTAAGAAAAATTGCGCAGGTTAGTGGCACTTTAGGTAAGGTTCGTTGGCATACAAAAACACAGATATAATGTAGCCTTCACTATTTAGAGAATCTTCCAAAACGATCAATTTCATGACACTTCACTATTTTATAATTTTGACCCCTTCAGAGGGAGGGTCGATCTTCACATTATATTACGAGCTTAGTCAAACATTGCGATATTCTTAGTTTAAAGAGAATCGCTGACTTATTTCGCATGTTATAATGGTTATAACTAACCAAAAGTTGACCCTTTGTGGGGGAGGTACCAAAAGGAGTGGTCCGATATATTCTATATTTTCACCAGAACTTATGTTGATATAACTATTTGGATGTGCTGAGTTTAATTGGAATCGGATGCTAATTTCCCGTTTTGAAGAGTTCATTCTTATTTAATATTTTGACCTATTGTGAGTCAAAATCAGCCCACTCCTACCATCCACCATCTTCACATCAGATCTTATGTTAGTAAAAATATTGTATTGTGAGAAGTTCAGAATAAATCAGTTGCTTATTTCAAATTTTATGGGAGATATTATTTTAAATTTTTTTACACGTTGTGGGGGAGGTACCAGGAGGATTGGTCAATGTGTTTCATCTTCACACAGGAGAGTGTGTAGGCAAAAATATTGTGATGATGCTTATTTCAGATTTTATAAGAGTTATAATTATTCAAAAAGTTGACATTCTATAAAATTTAAACCAAACTGAATGACGCTTTCTGGTTCTATGAGGTACATTATTTTCTATTCAAATGTTGCCCATTTGTGGGGGAGGTATCAGAAGGCCCATCTGCGAACTCGATCTAGGTTTAACAATAATATTACCATGTACCAAGTTTGTATCAAATCGGATACTCCCTTCGAAAATTATTATGTGTCCGAACAGACAGACAGACAAATTGACGGACACCCTTAGATCGACTCCAAATGTCCTGAAACGGATTTGGTCCAAAGATATTGACTGACTCCTTTCTGACCGCTTTTACATGAAGAACATTTTTCTATTAAAGTTTATCTGGTTCCATTTAGAATTGAAGACATCGAAAATCAAGAGGAACTTTTACGAGGCTCTATATTAGGAGCGTGTAGCGAAAAATGCCATTCTTAAAACCGACCATCTGCTCATTATTGCATGAAGAAAATTAAATATTGTACGGCTTCAAATTTCGAAGATCTGCATAAAGAAATATGGACTATTGTCAAGAAGCAGGTGCCCATGCTGATCAAGGATACTTTTAAAACCTTCGATATTTCAAAAAACTTGGAAAAATATAATTCATTCATTCATTCTTCTAAGTCATTTGGATTAATACATGAAATTATGATTCCTGATTCATGAAGAATATATATCTTCAATATGATCTATTGATTTTTTTCAACACCTATCGGACCTAACGAACATTTAATAAAAAAATCAGATTTATTTAATTGTTCCTGATTTTAAGTATTAACTCGTTTAAATACAGACTTTATTCTACTAAGTTTGACTATAAGGCTTTTTTTATCTATTATTTGTTTTAAATCTACATTTATTTATAAACAGTGTGTTTCGAGCAAAAAAAAATATTTTTGAAATGAATGTTTCAACAGTCAATCGCTTAATCGCGAATTGTATATAACAAACAATTATATTGGAGACAATTTTTATTTGGGTTGTTTGTTTATCATTCATAAACACATGAAAATCCAACATAAGTAGTGTCAAAATTTCCACTCACATAGTCTTGAAAGTTGTTTAATAAAACAGAAGAAAGCCGGAAAATGAAAGAGAATTAAGATCCAACTTTGTGTCAGGAAAGCGAATTTTTGGTAAAACATATTAATGATAAATATGAAATTCGGAAAATATTATTTGCCAGACACAAGTTATTTTAAAACAGGAGATTATTTTATTTTAAATATTTGAAAGTTCTATATTTATTTTAGAGAATTTTTAATAAGTGAACAATTTTTCCAAAATTTGTTTTCCATAGTTTTTAAATATTTATTTTTTAGGGAAATAACAATCACACTGTTTAATATCCTTTAAATCCTTCTAATGTAAATAATACTGAAATGTATATTTTTATCTATCTCATAATCGTTGCAATTTACTACGATACAAAAACTATTAACTTTATTCATAATTATTTCATTTCTAATTAATTGGAATGTCCAAATTTTTTGTGATTAATACACAAAAAATATATCTGACAGCTATTTGTGAGTTTCATTACTAACACCTATTTATTGTTATTAAATAGTTATATATGTACACCAAAATAACAACAGAGAAAAAGTAACGAGTACTGACTTTTTCCTAGTTTTCAAATATTACAACAAACGAAAAATATTGCAACGATGTTTTTTGTTTTCTCAAAACACACACAAAATTAGGAGACACATATTAAAATCACACTGATTTAAATAATGGCACACACACATAAATATATATAGAGAGAATTACACACACACATATATATATATAGTGTACGATTATAGGGAGGTATACAAAGGACAAGGTACGTGTACATATACATATATTCGTAGAAATATATGTGAGTTGTTTGTTGGGATTTGGATATGTTTTTGAATTGCGTTTTCTTTTTTTGGTTAGTCAGGGTTTGAGCAAAGTTCTGTTACTTTCTTGAAGGGATGTTGTGGGTTATTTTTTGGCTTGTTTTGATTAGGTTTGGATTTGTGAGTTTGGTTATTATTGGAAACGATTGTTGGTTGTTTTTGTACGTGTTACCATTTATTTTGATGATATATTTTTTTGTTAACACACATTCTTATTCACCTTTTTATTGTTTCTGAAATTTGAGAAAAATTATAAAATAATTAAACAATGTAAAGTAATGTTCGGTTCGAATAAAATATTTTTGTTGATCTTAGAACATAGAATGAGTGTGGTTATTTTTTGAATGATTGTTTTGATTCGATGGAAGATCTGATAAATGTAGATCGTTTTTATAATGAAGTTATGTGTGATGAATGAAAATTCGTTTCCCTAATGTATTATTATTCATGAAACTCAGTAGAAATGTATGTATGTTTCTTCGCTGAGTAAATCTGTGATATGTAAATATGGTCCAGGACTAACTTAGGAACTTCCGAATTATGTTGTTGAGTGGAAAACAAGCAGAAGAAAACTAGAAAAAATCGAAATTCGAACATTTCTAGAAAAGTCATTTTTTAATAAAAAATGAGGTAATAAAATTGAAACTTTGAAATTAAAACTTTAAATCAGACGTTTTCCCAAGGCTTATATACCCTCGGCATATGACCAATTATTTAGCATATATATGGGAGTTATAAAAACCATATACCGCCCAGAGGTATGCTCTATAAGTCAAATGCCATTTTAACTGGCCAAGAGCAAAATTGGATATTCACTACATTGCAGGTAGTATCTCGAATAACAAGGCAAGAATCTATTCAATTTGGTCTGATATTACATATATGGTGAATAATAGCCGTAAAATCGGATGAAGATGTATCTCGAAGCTATATAAAAATCTGAATCGATCTCTATAAAATTTGGCAGAGGTATTTTCGAGCAGTATCTTATACCCGGTATCAAATATCATTGTTGTATATTAGGGATTATAATTATATCTGAAGCGATTTTCCACAAGTTTGAAGTACTAGTTTCTAGGATGAATTCAGTCGAAATTGCCAAAACTCAGTCCATTTGGGCCGATATTAGCCAATTGGTGCACAATAAACCTGATATCGGTTGATGATATATATGGGACCTTTATCCTAGTCTGATCCGATCTCGATAAAAATTGACAGAGGTATTTTTGATTGATCTGGTACCAAATATCATTTTTCTGGGATGCATTTACGCATGTGAGGCATTTAAATCTCCAAATCGGATGAAACACATGAATAGGAAATATAGATAAGGTTGGATGTGCCAGAATGTAGGTCATTTGGATTGATATTGGCCATTTGGTGCACATTACCCCGAAATCAGTTGAAGATAAATATGGGAGCTATATGAGAATTCAATTCCATATTTCCGGTGCAAAATGTGGCTGAAATCGTGGAAAGATATCAGGAAGACATGGTTACGCAATTGTATGTCATATGAGGTGGTACCCATTGCGAACTAGCGGAACTTCGGTGAAAAGTGTGACCCCAATCATAATAATATAGAATATTTGATGGTTTTGGCATAGAACTTGGGCCTATGTAGACAGTTATCTACAAGGATGTTTCCTATAGACATGGAACCCAAAATTCAACCCTATTTTTTTTTTGGACATGATCGCATAATATTTAGGGGTTGAAATGGAACAAAAACTGAAAAATTTCTTGATTTTGCAGTTGCTCTACAAGACGCAATTATGAACCAATCGAAGCGGAAGTTAGCATGGGACTAGAGCTTAGGGCTGGGCAGAAGCCTTCCAATTTTGGTGGTCATCGGGTAATATTTAGCGGGTGAAATAGACCATAATATTTCTGTTAAATTAAAGTCAAATTTTCCACTAAACCGCGAATATTTTTAATCCCGGCGAAATCACAAATAGGCGAACAGGTCAGTCCTGACCGTAACGTAGATGCCGATAATAAATATATCGGATATATATAGCGAAATGTATTCAATGTGTATATACAAAGGAAGAGATGATAGCTAGAATGCTTATATCTTAAGAATGGCTGGACCGATTTTGACAAATTTTGTCAATTCATAATGCCCTCTTGACATAAAAATATAAAATCTAAAAAAATCGCTTAAAATGATGTCAATAATGATGTTACAATAGATTTTGTAGAATTTTGTGAATTTTTTTTCATTTTTTCATATTTTTTATCGCATGCGATTTTTTCAATTTGACTTAAAATATTGAAGTGTAAATTTTGTAATATTTTTTCACCTTACAACACAGGTTGGGGTTATTATATACAGATTGCAATTATCGTTCGATCTTCACGAAAATTTGGGTTAGAAGGACTAGGCCAATTATTTTCAAAGATGTCCGCAATACATTTAGGGGTTGAAATGGACCAACAACTAAAAATGTTCCTGCTTTTGCAGCCGTTATAATGGTCACAAAAAGAAACCAAAGGACACGATATCTCGCATGAAGTTAGAGTTTAGGACAGTGGGTGGAATGGACCACTACTTTTGTTTAAAAAATACCTGAACTACTTACAGGCGATATCCGAAACACACAAAATGCGAACGAATGAATCTAAATTTGGAAATTCAGAGGGCCTCTTGCTTGAGGTGATCGCAAAATATCTGGGTAGTGCTCCGAGACATAATTTCAAAAGCGAAAGCTTCCAAAATGGATTTGGACATAAGGGGGCTTCCAACATATTGTAGTGTTGTAGGGCATCACATGGTCGGCCCCGCACGACTATAGCCTTTGCTTACTTGTTTTTTTTTTGTGGGACGCGCACCTACAGCATAAGAATGTCACATCTAATTTTCAGCCTTTATCTAGTGTTTTGATAAAGCAAAGTTGGTAAGTAATTAAGGGATCTTTTCCCATTTTTTGAGAGATATGATAATTCAAAAATTTGATCTCGTCTATTTTCTAAGTTTGATAAAAATATTAAAAATATAAGTTTAGATCAAAGTTCATTTAAAGATATACGTTTTGTACCATCTCTGTGCCCTACTCCTATGTTGACTACGCAATCTTTGTATAATAATGACTACTTTTTTAAATTGTCACTTGGGTCACATTTCGCATTTTATCCAAGGCGTGATTTTCATGTTAGTTTTATATGGGATATATAACATATTTTTTTATTTGGAAAATAATATCGCTTTAGAAAAGTACCCATTGGAGGAACTAAAAGAAACTAGACTGTTGAGCTAGCTCTATTCTATTTATATTTTCATTTTCTGTACGGTACATTAGGAAAGCAAAGGGAAATAATTAAGATCAAACCTTATACATAAGTCAACACTTGATGAAAAGCGTACCATTGCTATATCATAACTTTCTTCAAAAAATTGATAAATTTCGTTGCTAAAAAATTCCTTACTGACCCTTATATATCACAGATTTTTGGCCTCAGCAATTAAGTTCTCATGAATTGTGGTGACAGAACATAAAAAACGTTATAATAAAAAATAAAAAGAAAAATGCGAATAAAATATTACCTAACAGAACGTTTACGCATTGTACTCCGGCGGGCCAGTGTTGCCAGGCTACCTTGTTCCGTATCACCATTTGTCTGATGATGTACATTTGCCAATAAATGCGTTTGGGAATTGGCAGCATCGTGGCCATTCGGTTCATAGCTAATCGAACCTTGACGTGATCCTCCTTTGTCAAGGGCAGTCATGTCGAGTAAACAATCGAAAAATGATTGTTTCTGTATGTGTGTGTGTAGTTTTAGTTTTTATTTTTCAATGGCGATTTGTTACAAGTGTTGAGTTTTAATATACATTATATTTTACAAGACGAGTTGGTGGGTGTTTTTTTTTCGAGAATTGTAAAAAATAGCGGACAGATTTTGTACAGTGCATTTTGGAATCGTTGTTGTTAGAGTTGAGTTGTTGGTGATAGTTTTTAGATCCATGTGAGTGATTTGATTTTGTTTGGTGATTTGATTGGTTGATTGGTTTCAGACACATACATTTGTTTGGTTTTTGTTTTTGTTATTTTTTATAGTACAAATATGTGTTGATGTTGTTGTTTTGTTCAGAGACATAATTTCGACAGAGAGAGATTTTTTTCAAATAGCCACCCGATTCGAACGATCGATCACATCGTAACGTACACAAAACATAAAAAAATTTTGTTTTTTTTTTCGTTTGAATGAAGAAAAATAAAAATATAAAATATGATTAATAATGACTTTTGTACTCGATGTAATTTCATTTGAAAAATATAAAAAAAGTTAATAAATATTTGTTTTTTTTTAAATATAGGTATATCAAGTAAATATGCTTAAGAATAACAATAATAATTTTAATAAAAAGAGAAAAAAGTGATATTGCTTTGTTTTAGCTCGCTGATAAATTTCAAATAATTTTGCTGTTAATAAATATTTTTTGTACAGGAAAAAAATGCATTACTAATTGCTAGCTTTTGTGTCTAGGTTTTTTGTTGTTTAGCTAAGAAATTTTTTTTTAAAATTTTTTAAAATTTATTTTACAGGCAATTGTTTTTTTTTCGGTTTCATTAAGATTGATTTTAGTTAAAATTTTATTTATAATTTTGATCTAAAATTCTCTAAGTGCAATTAAGGGGAGAAAAAATGATTGAGAGGTGAAAACACTATGTAGTTTGGGGTGTTTTCGTCTTTACGTCTTTATTAGTTTATATAAGATGCCACGTGGCGTCCACGGCGTTTCCACGTCCCTAAAAGAGTTTTCAAAATTGGTCTGCGAATAGAAAAAAAATTGGAGTTTGATTTTCTGACCCTAATTTCGATTTTTTTACACCCAGAACAGGAATCTGGGTTATACCGAAATACATACTCATAGTAAATAGTCTGAGGAGGAAACATTCGCAATTTTGAGGCCAAGATCCATAACTTCAGTCGAGAAGTATCTATATATAACTCTGAAATATTGACCTATATTCAAATTTTACAGCCAAGTGGTGTTCAACGACTTGAGAAACCAAGATACCAAGTAAAATCCAAATCGATTGGAAACAGTAGTACCTTTATGTATATGAGCCATAAACTTAAACCTGGACCCACGTTGATAGTTTTTTATATGGAAGGTAATATGAACTATAAATGCCAAACTTTGACTAAATTAAATCGAAAACAAGAAAAAACGTAATTTCTTTTTGGAATCGGGTCTACCCCCAAAAAGTGGACATATATGACCCATTTTTGGAACCACTTATGCTTGAGGTGTTCTAAAGCCCTCTACACATTTTCTAAGCTGTATATTAACATTTTCGAAATATATGTAAAAAATACACTTGGAATTTTCCACAGTCAAGACTGGTTATTAAAGAAAAATTTAAAAAAAAATTGAAAAAGAACAATTTTTAATTTACTTTCTTGCATCAACTCCAATGAAGATCCAGAAATGAATTGTCGAAAAAAGTTCGGAAATATTTTCGCTTTTTTCTTGACAACATTTGCATCAATGTTTTCTTGATCGAAATTTTTTTCCGTGGCAACTCATAGTAAAATTTAAGGAAAAATAAATCTTTCTGTAAAGTTTTCCTTCTAAAATGATATACAGCGTGAGATGAAAAAACTGCAACCAAATTCAGACTGCTGTCATTTCTAAGCCACTCGTCCGACACCTGTTAAAATTATTCCAGTGACAGCGCATTATATTGTTTACAGGCGTACAAAATCTTTTTGGTGAGAATTTTCCAGAAAAAGAGTTATTCGTGATGGAATTCAAGCGTGATAGTGCGATTTCTTTGTATTTGGCTGGAAAACCACAAGTGGCTATCGTTAGAGCACTCCAGCATTTAAATGTGAATAAATCTTTTGTGTCTCGTATCATCGATCGTTACCGTGATACTGGTAGCGTAGCGTCAAGGATGTGGACGGAAGAAAACAGCAACATCAGCAGAAATGGTTCGAAAAGTAAAGAAGCGACTTGATCGAAACCCGCGTCGCAGAGACTGAAAACTGGCTCCTGAGCTGAACATATCGCAGTATTCCATTCGGGAAATATTGAAAAATGAGCTCGGGGTAAAGCCATTGAAATTCTAAAAAGTGTAAGAACTTAGACTGCAACAGAAAGAAAATAGACTCAAAAGAACTAACGAGTTGATTTACGTGGCCGAAAGTGGTGAACAGCCGAATTTGGTTTTCTCCGTCTCCGATGAGAAAACATTTTTTGTCCAGCAGTTTGTAAACAAACAAAAACGATAGTGTTTACTTGCCAAAGAGGTCAGTTGAAAGTGTGCACCTTCGGTTGGACACCAGAACTCAAGCGCCGGTCATGGTGATGGTGTGGGCCACCATAACAGGCGATAGTCGCTCTCTGCTCGTATAAATCGACCGTGGCATCAGAAAAATGCCGAATATTATCACGAAAATATTCTGGAGGGTGTATTAAAGCTTTTGACGAAGCAAGGTTGGCACCTCAAGCAAGCCCTTCGTCGGGAATGGGCCAAAATACCGCAGAGCAACATTCGGGCGTGTGACGGTTTCATTGGCCGCTTTAAGACCATAATTCGTGCCAAAGGTGACCGATTTGCACAAATTTAAACTTATTCTAAATTTTGATGTTATTACCGATACTTTTAGCTTTCATTCGATAGAATTAAAAAAGTGTATAAGTTATGGCGTTTGATTTTGTTGGACTTTTTTTCTCACCCCGTATATGTTAAATATATGGTTTCCAAAGAATATTAAACCGAATATTCCAGACTAAAGGAATAGAACCGAAAAATTAAAAAAAAAATATATATTAAGGGGAGACTTCTCCCTCTTTTTACGTTACTCTGCGATGTAAATTTTCAGAACGGCGATACACGGATCTTCTTTTTTTGGCTCTATTTTCATATTCTGGATTTGTATTGGAAAAATGTTTTTTTTCGCACTATTTTTATAGTTTTCCTATTTTTGGCTGAATTTGAATATATTTTGTCCAGCACAAGCCAAATTATCCGTTTTTTTCTTAACATAAGGTTTTCACATCTCACAGAAAAAAAATGTTTTGAATAAAAGAGTATTAAAATAAATTACCAACGGGAGAATTAATGTGTTAAAAAACATGCTGAAATGGCATTGAGAAAATAAGTGGTTCTAGACTTACAAGAATTATAAAGAGGTTTAAAATTTAAAGATTTGAGAGACAAACTAGTGATGGAAGACAATTTTTTACAAATAAACTCAGGATGATAAAAAATCACTTTAAAATTCAAAACCAAAAAAACAAATAAATTGAAACATGCTTGTTTCATCTAAAGTAAATAAAAAATTTACTTATTTACATGCTAATACTTCTAGCCATTTACAAGAGAAAATTAAACAAAATTGAAAATTATTACAAGTAAAAGTTTTAAAAAAATCTAAAATCTCTTTTAAATTAAATAAAAATAAAATTTAAATGAAAACACTAAAACTATTCAAAGAATCTTTTTTTTTTTTTGTTAAATATAGGACACATTTATTCCTGGTTGTTACTAATTGATTTTTTTCGTTTTCAATTTCTAATGATATTTAATTTCACATTGAGTATTTTTTAATAAATCTTTCTTGGGTTTACGTTTTAAGTTGTTTTGTATGATATATGATTTTGGGTTTTTTTGTTTTTGTTTAATTGGCATCTAAGCTAATAGTAAAAAAATATATATTCATAATTTATAAAACTCTATAACAATAAGACCATAGCGTATATTTTTTCAGGAAAAAACATTACAAAAACTAGTTCCAAAAAAACATTATTATATATACATTTTACTTTAACATGAATAAAATTGTATAAGAATAGAATAAAACAACGGTGCTTATATAAGTAAGAATTTAATTGTTGTGCTCATATTATGTTTCGTTTATATAAATTGTTGCTAATTTTAGATAAATAAAATATATTGCTAATTTGTTTTTCTTCGCAAATCCTTGTTTTCTTATTCATAATTCTTATTGTTGTAATTTTTGCATGTTTTTTGAGTTTTGTGTCCAATTTCATACCAATATACATTTGTTTTTGAGTTTCGTCACCATTTGCGTAGAAATGTGTGTAGTATTTTATATTATGTGGTTGATTGGTATGTTTATTATGATTTAATTTTTGTATGTAATGATTGAGAGACTTCAATAGAAAATACAATATTTTGTTATGCCAAACACCCTAAACATTCAAAATATGGGAAGGAAGGCAATTTTCTTTTAGAGATTATAAAACTAAAAATTTTTAAAAATTTTCATGTAAGATGCCGCTAGAAGCATTGGAATACCGAAGATCGGATGTACAGCTGTAGGTAGGTCATAATAAAACTTTAACCAATCTACCAAATTTTTGGCCATATAAGATTGTACAGTCTTTACTTTAAATATCAAAACATTCAAATGAAATTATGGGTATTCCCGAAGATACCAGAAGGTAATTATTCGTGGGGGTATTTATGGTTGGTGAAAACATCGAAATATGCGAAGTTTCAAAAAAAATTGCTGTCCAGATTCACATATTAAAATGGTTATGATTAGAGTAGTGGTCCGTTCTCTCTTCATGCCAAATCTAGAATTGTTAAAAATGTTGGGATGCGCGAAGTGGGACTGTTTTTTCAAATTTTATAAGAGTTATGAATTATCAATAGTCAAAATGTTAACCCTGTGTGGAGGAGGTACTAGAAGGAGTGAGCCCTTGTTATCCATTTTCGCACCTGCCCAAGTACTAATACCAGCCTTTCTCTTTTTATGAAGAAAATTATTTTCTTTGG